GGTTTTTTTTTTTTTAAGAAAAAAGTTGGGGGGTTCATTTTCTTTTTTTTTAATGGTGTCTGTAACCGCTATTTCATCCGTTACGTACCGCAGCAGCCAGTGTGGTTCCCGCTCTGCCAAGCTCCCTCTCTACTCCCTGGCGCTCACAGAGCGGCAGGGTCGGCCTCGGCTTGTGTGTTCAATCATCTCAGGCCAAGCGAAGTTCAGCTCTTTGGCTTGTCGTAAAAAAAATTGCCCCCTTATTTTTTTTGGCGGTCGCGGCCGCGGCAACTTTGAGAATGTATTGCGATTCTGGGTTGATATACGTCTGTCTATTTTTATTAGCCCTGGAATATATATATATTTTCGGGGGCGGCGCTCCAGGTCAATGTGGTTCACTGGAAAAAAAAATCACGAAATCGTTTGGAAATGTTGTAGATAAATCTCATTTTTTTCTGCGATTTGATTTGCAATTGTAGAAAGTTTTGCTGTTTCTTTTGGTTGTGTGTTTTTTTTTTTTTTGAAGTGTTCGTTTTCTTACGATGTTCTTCTCTGTTTTGCAGATGACCGGGACGTAACAGAGGCGCCATGGAGCGTCTGCTGTTGGCCGCGCTGCTGCTCTGCGGCGCGGTCGTGTGGGCTGGCGAGCAGCACAACCAGGATGCTGTCAAGGAGGCCGTCCTCGACCACGGCCCGCACGTGGACGACCGACTGAACGAACTCGTTTCCGAACACAACGACCACGGCCTGGGCGACGACGGTGGCGGCGGAGGCGGTCCCAAGGGGGGAACGCACCTCCCCGACAAGACGTCACCCGCGCTCAACGAACTAGACGCCAAGACGGACGCCGACGAGTCGGATCTCGCTTCGTCGTCGTCCTCTTCCTCTTCCTCGGCCTCGACGTCCTCGGAGAGCGCCCCTGAAGCGAAGCCCTCGGAGGAGTCCGTGGAGGTGCCGACGAACCCGGAAGCTGACAAGACACTCGTCCCGGACACCAGCGAGTCCGCCTCTTCGGGCTCCGAGGACGAGTCTGCCGACGACGTGGCCGCCAACGCCGAACCCAACCCCGCCGAACTGAAACCCGCCCCCGAGGCCGACGCCCCCCTCGCCCCGGAGGAGGCAAGCTCCACCGAGGAGGTGCCGGTTGCGCCCAAGTCCACCGTCAGGGAGGTGAGCGTCGGCGCGGACGACCCCGAGCCGGAGCTGGACGCCGACGAGGAGACCGCATCCACCGAGTCCTCGGTAAGTTATCGTGGAGGAGAGTCCTCGGTCAAGAAACAAAATTATACATTTCCCAGTACCGCCGAGCTGCAGCAGCGGAACTCCTCCTGCTGGAGTCGTCTGGGCAAACGAGCAGAGACTCGGTTTCTCTCTCTCCCTCCCTCCCTCCTTCCCTCCCTCCCTTCCTCCCTCCCTCCCTCCCTCCCGCTATGGGCAAACCGATCGCAGTGGACACTGCGGTCCTGGAGAGGGGTTCGCCTGGAGCCCGCGCCTGCCGCTGGCTGGAGCGGTACGCCTCTCCAGGACTGTTGGTCCAGCTGGTTAGTGGGGGGGAGGTGGGGGAGAGTGGAAGGGGGTGCAGCCGACACGCCCGGATGGAGAGACAAACACGCCCCAAAACTTTCCGCATGGCGCATGGCGCTTTCCATTCCATGACCATAGAAACAGTAGCGGGCGGCGGCAGATTTCTACCTGTGTCTTTTATTTTATATTCATTACCAGTTGCTTCTTTTTTTGGTTATTTACCAATAGGGTTGGAAATTGCCAAAATTTCCGGAAAATAACGGAAAGCTGGGAATTTTTCCTTTTTTTTCCCAGAAATTTTCCTGAAAATTTCCAGGACTTCCAACCCTAACCTACAACATATGT